CTGGTTCTTGAATTGCTGTGGGGCTTAGGCAGGATGCGTCTAGGGTAAGGCAGCAGCGCACATGCTTAAAGGCAGAAATACGGGGGCCTGAGGAACTTGTGCCCTGAAAACATAGGCCCAGTGGGAGTGTAGGGAGTTTTGTTGAGGGCAACCCAAACTAGGAGTTAGCTGCCCCCAGCTTGCGCTTAGGCGCCTCAGCATCTGCAGTCTGAGCTTTGTGCTTGGGAATGCAGGACGGGCTATTGCCTTCTGGAAATCACTGTATCTCTCTTTGCCCTGAGCCCCTTCCAGCTTCCATTTCAAGGCCTGCTTCTCCACTGCCCCGTTTCTCATGCAGTCATTTATATCGGCACGGCCGTATTTACAGCCACTGTGCTCCCCCTTCAGGAGGTATAAATGAGATGATGGTGGAGAATCTGGTCTTGTTGCCACATGCTGTGACTGGCGGTAGGGTGTAGTGGGTAGAGCAGGTGGGGCTGAGAGCTATGTCATAGGATCCTATGATGGGCTGTAGGGTGTGGTAGTTACAGTGGGGGGGCTGGGTTCTGTGACTGGCTGTAGGGTGTAGTGGGTAGAGCAGGTGGGGGCTGGGAGCCAGGACTCTGGGGTTCTGTGACTGGGTGTACAGTCTAGTACCGTGGTCACCTACCGGTAGATCTCAGGGGCTCTAAGAGTAGCTCTTGAGCCCTCTCTGAACTGCGTGCCTGCACAGTACATTTACATTAGATTTCCTCATTTGAGGAGCAGCTACTCACTGAGCAACAACACAGGTGAGTAGCTGCGAGGAATGGTGAGAGCTGGGAGGTCGGGAGGGCTGAAACACCCCAGCCAGCTGGCTGTGGCTTTTAGCTGAAAGAGGCTGCCCCGCGCTCCAGTTAATCGGCGGCTTCTCCTCTGCACCTGCCCACGTGGAGCTTGGTGCACCCTGGCTGAGCCCCATGGCCAGCTGGCCGGGCAGCTGCTTCTCTTCGCTCCAGCCCGGCTGCCCTGCGCTCAGCCCAGGGAGGCTGTGCCTAGCTCCAGAGAAGACAGCCCGGAGGGAGTGCGGGTCGGAGGCTTGCCAGAAGTTCAATCTATACTAGCAAAAAACCCATGCTTGATCAACAGTAGGAATTAAAAAGAAAACATGCTAATAAACTAATTGTATATTCAGAATAATTACTTATTTGTAAAACAAACCAATCTTTCCACAAGCAAAAAATAGATTTAATTAATCAGATAAATTATTTGTTGCAGTTTATTTACTCTGCTCTGTGGCTCAAACAAAGAAAATTACTTGTAAGTTAGCAGTGGTAGTAGTGGCATGTTGTCTCCCTTCTCTAGCACTTAGCACCAGAGAAAGTAAATTTATTTGGTGTCAGCAGATACTGGATGCTGTCCTTCCACCGCTAACATGCTGCATGCTGCTGATGCAGTAACTAATCCATAAGAAGCCATACAGTGACAGTCTATTGTATGCCTTATTCTTACAATAAAATAAAAGTTGCTTTTGAAACCTTCAACTATTACACCTTGCGGAAATAGATTATTCTCTGGGGATGACATGGCCATAATGTTCAGATTCAAAAAGACTTGCAAATTTCATAACGTTATAGGAATGTGCTGAGTCCTTTATTACTTGAGAATCTGGGCTCCTTTTGCTATTTTTGTCCTTATGTTTTTCCCTCTATAACTTTCAATGCAGTTTGTTTTCTGCTGGGAATGGGCCCTCATTCACACATGAAGTATTCTAATACATAAGAACTCCCAGGCTGACCTTTTAATTTACCTGTTTATGTAAAGGAGAAGGTCTAGAAGACAGTCTATAATGTCTGGTATACTCAGTATGGATTTCATTACATTTTTGCAAATTTATCTCTGCCTGCAACCACTCTGTCTAATGAGATAATGAATGAAGGAGTCACGGTTAGCTGACCACAGTTCAGGACTGGATGATCAATCTGCAATGCTGTCCTGGACATATTTGCTCTCATGGCCAGGTCCCCGAGGCAGACTATGGGTTTGTAGGGACCCAGGCCAGAGCAATCAGGGGACACTCCCCTAGGGTTGCCAAGTGTCCAGTATTCTACTGAACAGTCCAATTTTTGTGCCCTCTGTCTGGTAAAAATATCAGAAAATACTGGACATGTCCAATGTTTGGTATTTTCTATTTTTCCGGCTGGGCGCCGGATGGAAGCCTGGCGGGGGTGGGGGGAGTGGCTGGGAGGCAGGGCGCGATTGCCGCCGGGAGCCCTCCGCTGAGGGCGTCCGAGGGGGAGTGACGCTTTGGGGAGGGGGAGAAGCCCCGTCCCTGCTCCTGAGCGCTGTTCGAGCGCGTTGTGGCGCCGGAGTCCAGGGGAGACGCCCGCGGGCGCTTTGTGGGTGCGTTTCGGCGCCTTCCATGGGCTCTCAGCCAAAACTGCCTGGGGTGAAATTTCTGCATCATCCCACTGGGACACCCAAAGACCTGACTATGGGGGAGTCACCTTCCTACCCATGGCCTCTCCGGGAAGCTGCTGAGGCTCAGAGAGACAACCAGGTACACGGCCTTCCCGGTCCCTGGCTGGGCTGGCTGGGCTGTCAGGGAGCACTGTGCAC